TCATGAAGGCGTGAGTTGAAACCCAAATTAAAGATAAGGTTCTTTTGCACCTACTGTTTGATCCATCCCCTCATGCAACAAGTAAATTGATAGATTTTTTATGAACAAATTATCAAGCTTCAGTCAAAATTTAGCGTTCCATTACAACACTATATGAGTGCATTAAGCCAACGAACATCAGTGTGACCACGGATTCGAATGCATATAAATTGCAAACGTCTACGTACATGAAGCAGTCATCGATCTGTTGCCTATTTGAATAACAGTTAATGGCCTTCGCTTCATGATCCATGGTTCAAGGCAACAATTACAAACTATGGTATAGAATCCTTATTTACCGACGCGTTTCGACACCGCACACCAGCGTCATCATCAAGGTAATGCATATATTATTTATATACTCTATTTGATTTACTTCATAATGGGTTATTTAGTTGGCGGGCTGACAATTACTCTGAAAAACAGCAAAAACGATTTGCTGATACACGCAATACAATGGTCATTCGGATGATAGACCGAAACTAATGTTACGATCCAATCTTGCAACGGTCTTCTTCAAGGTAAATATGTGGAAGAAGTTCGTGCTTGTTCGGTTCGTCCGCAACAGGCGGTATATTTAAAACAGAGATTTCTTGGTGGCAAATTAGAATTTCTGCACATGTTATCCAGTGCATGTTTTAATCTTTTTTAATTCATGTCGTTCTGTCGTGCAACTGAGATCACCACTTCCTATAAATGAGCAACCATGAGCATGAAAACGAAGATGAAATGAATATGAACTGAAATGAATATGAATGAAATGACGATGCATCTAACACAAAGTCTAGAAGAACAATGGTGAAGAGATTTCAAGATAGTGATCTTCAAAATCAAACACCTTGTTCCCTAGAAGACAAAAGAACTCCGGGACATGGTCACACCTTGAAATAAATAATTTGCGATGAACTGCAATTCATCAGAATGGACTGGCAGCTGCAGTCGACCACACCACTGGAAGAAAAGCCCTGCAGACAACGGTAACTGCGATAGTGAAACCCAAGCTCTGGAACAAACTACTTTTTAATGCTCTCTCAAACGCAGAATTAAAGATATCGAGATGCCTTTCCGGAAGCCAAACTGGTCCGAAAATCCATATCTACATGAATATCAGAGTTTCATTCATATCCAGTCACCTGACAGACGTTTAACGATGGCAATTAGAAAGCGGAAAAAAACGCACTATCAATACTGACAGTCAATTTAACCGACACGATTCGATTATTTCGTTAGATCGGTCTGAAGATTTTAAGTCCAAACGTTTTCTCATAAACAGCTTAACCGCGTTCGTAAACGGAATGCAATCAAATTTTTTAAAGCATTAAAAAAGTTCTACAAAAAACGATGAACCAAATGGAGACTACTTTTTACATAGGCAAAAATTCCTTTTTATAAAATCAGGTTGAAATAAGCAGTAAATAATAAATCACTTCACACTGAAAAAAACAGCAAAACGTTACTGACCCATGATAAAAACCAAAGTTGAATACTGAGAACACATCCGAACTGTGGCAACAGTTAAACATGACATTCGCTGACTGTTGGTTAGTTGACATCGAAGTACGGACAATGAACAGTTTTAATTTCTTGAAGAAAGAGGCTTTTCAAGGAAAGCGTTCAGAAAATTTAAGCAGAAGTTTTAAATTAAATTTTGTAAAACTTCATTGAATTAAGATAAGAATTTTCCATTATTTTCCTTGAAAGAGCTTTTGATTCTGGGTCAATAGTATATCATAGGACTGTTTTCTAGACAGGTTTCTTGACTGCTTTCTCGGCTGGTTACGAAACCGTATCGTAAAACACAGATGGAAAGACCTTACTAAAGTCGACGCATTTCATTACCACTTCGTCCCAGTGACGTTACCAGTGTTGGTAACGAAACGCGTCGGCTGTCAGTAAAATCTTAAGATGTTATCTTTACGTTCGAGTTTCCTAAACATGCATCAAGAAAACAATTCGTTGATTTTCCATTACGGTTTAAACAATTTAGTATTTAGTAACGGAGTGCCTAATTATTGATAATTATGTCAGTATTGACGACCAGCGGCCAGCAAAATTTAAGAGCATACTTCATAAACAAACTCCTGTGATTCCATCTCTAAGGTATCTAAGCGAAAGAATGAACCGATGCATGAATACATAAAGTTGTATAGTGTAAAGACTGTACTGAATGGAATCGGCATGCAATCATCCATGTTAACCAGGCGGTCACTTGCACAAAAACTGTATTTTACTATAACAGAGGAAAGCTCGTATTGCACCCCGCAGGAACTGCAGCTCTGGGATAAGGTTAAATGAGGAAACCGGAAGAAAGCAGAAAAACGGGAACATAGAGGAGACGAAGGAGTGCATTAGCAAAGGAGACGAAGAGTGCCTTGTCAAAACGAAATGTTGCATACTAAAGAACCACCGCATATAATGAGGTACAAGCAGAACAGTCCGGAAAGAAACCAACTTGACAAGGAAAAAGATTCTAGAAACCACAAGCAAGAAAAACAGAAGAAACGCATCCTTAGATAAACCCACGGGAAAAAATCTGCTCTCAACGCGACCATCGCTACGATACCACAGAAACATGTTCAGTTCTGAAATCCGGGAGTCAATAATTTTTTGCATCTTAACAGTCAATATTCTAGCCTACTTTATTTGCAGAAGAGTAATTCATCAGCCAGTGAATGGCAGCTTCTGAACAAACGGGACGGGATTCGCGTACTGTCATGATTCACCAGCCAAAACTATGGTGCTGAAGAGAATTATCAGACGCGGACGAAATTCAATGCAGTTTAGTCGTTGTCTTTATATGTAACTTATGAGCACAATATTAATGGAATCCGTTACTCTAATCACTAATCACATTCGTCAGCTGCTCCAAGGGAATATTCTTCGATTTCATTTGGAATCCCAACGCAATTATAACATCATAAGGACCTCCTTCTCCCAAATAAGTCACCATTCCGATATCAGTATATGTCGGTCATACAATCTAATGGATAGATTCCAATTTTGTCCCAGCTACACGTAGCTGACAACCTTGAGATCTTGCTCTGGAATCAACAGTGGCAGAGCAATGCATATTCGAACTAAAGTATCCAAAATAGTTATTACTAATAATTAGATTATTTAGATACAATAAAGCCTTATAAATAGTAAACGAGCGACTTATAGGATAAATGACGTGTTTTGGAAATTTCTCTGTTCATGTGGTTGAGTGTACCTCAGCGAAACAGCAACACTGTTAAAGAAAGACCGATGAAAAAAGAAACCGCAACAGATTGAAGAACGCTAACGACCGAGAGAAAACAGTCTCAAGCAAGAAGCAAACAGGCAGAGGACACAGATATGAAATCGGAATGTGAAAAGAGTTGCTCTACAATACAACATGCCGTAATCCATCAGTACATCATATCTTGAGAGATGATAAGCGTACGGTATGCGCTAATAGCTGCGTCAGTCGCGACCTTTGTGCAGAAGTCAGCAACACATGGACCCAAAACATCCAACTGTAGTTTAGGACCAACGGACAAGCGTGGCATCGTCAACGCGACTAGCCTAAAACTGACTGCTTCTACGAGTGTAATTCAAAAACTCTGGTATCTCTACAGAATGCATCAAAACTAAAGATTTTATGCGCAACTCTCTCATTTGTGACTTTCCAAAACACAAATAGGTATAAACTTTAATTTAAAGCCAGCGTTAGACCCACAGAATATATACGTGTTAATTTTGAAAAAGAACTGCGAACAACGTTAAACGACTTTATTCGAGACATTCACACAACAGCCATTCACACTACAGTAGAACGGTAGATGATCAGAGGAGATGGCTTTTCGTCTCACGCCATGGTTACCAGTACGAAAACAATC